ATATATATATATATATAAATAAGTGAAAAGAAAGAAAGTTATAAGTGAGGCAGGCTAGTTATATAAAGTAGAACTCACAAATTTTATAATTTTTTTATAGATTTTAATTAAAAAGAAAGAAAATGTGGTAGAAAATATATTGTTATTGGAAAAAAAAAATCGAGTATGTTCACTCATTTAATTATAAGTTTAGAATGAAAGAAAAGAAACAGTTAACAATCAAATATGAGAGATGTATAACATCTAGTGAGACTGTGAAAAGGTCATTCAACTATAATTTTAATTTTAACTATTCATTTAAATTATACGATTGAGTTTCGCTCCTCTTATTCTCTCACCTCATATGTTCTGAATCAAATACATTTATTATTTTTATATAATATCAGATGATAAGATTAGTATGCTCCAATCCATTCCAATTTAAATTACATTTATTTTTAGATGATTAATTTTATTTTTAATAAATTTAATTTTATCAAAATACATCAAATATAAGTACAAAACAATGTTCTTCAAAATACAAGTTTAAACAAATTCATTAAAATATAAATATAATTTAAAATGTGTATCAATATAATGAAAAAGAAAATAAAAAAACTTGAGTTCGGCTAAAAGTATAATTAGAATGTTTAAAATGTGACTGTGAATTTGTTAGATGATATACCATTTTTTAAATAAGCACAAATTTTCGGTTTTAATTATAGTAAAACAATTTTTCATATCTAAATTAAAATCCGATTTAATCTTGGATATCTTAATTATATTAACATTTCATTTTTCCGAGTGAAACACAAATCCCTTAAATAATGTGTTAGATTTAAGTTTTATTAATGGGAACTTGATTGGGAGGACATCACATTAAAAATCACCACTTAAATCTTCTTATAAAATATAATATAGTTATTAATAAAGTTAGTAAATATTTGACACAAATTAAAAATATATAAAATATATAATTAGTCAATAAAGATCGATTCAATTGGGAAAAAAAAATGAACTTATATATTAAAGGGACGTAGGTTCAATTTCTTCCGATGTAAAAATTTTGTTGGTAAATGTTTTTATAAACACCTATATAGTCTTAAAATTTGTCTGACTCTAATGAATTCTTGAAACTCAACTTATCTAAATTTTTAATTATAATATATATATATATATGTGTGTTTAAAAATAATTAAGCACAATAATAGATATTCTTATTGTTAAGAAATAAGAACAAAAAATACTTTTTCATGTAAGACTACATTAAAAAAGAATAAGGCAATTGCATTTGTTGGAATTTGCTCTAAGAGTAATTTAGAATAAAATAATTTATTTGTATCTAAGAAAATTAAAATTATAACATTTTAACTCTTTGTAGAAAAAGTATATAGATATTAACATAAACTCACATTTTTTAAAAAATAGTATATTAACAAGTTACATTTTCTCTTGTGTGTGTAACAAGCTACACCTTTGAATATATTCTGAGAGAAATGTATGCTAATATACTTGTTCTAAAATTTATGTTAGTGTATCAACCAATGTGGCATTTGTTGTTTATAAATAAATGAATAAAATGTAACACTTTTGAAAATAAAAAAGTAATATATTAAATAAATCATGTGAATCAACATTAAAATTCAGAATTTTGATCTATGGAAACGAAAGAAAAAAATAATAATAACCCGATAAATTAGAATAAAATAAAAATGAGAGACAGAAAGAACATAGAAGGTGAGAAAAGTTGAGTAATGGATAATAAATAAAGAGAAAATGTAAAATGAAATTGAATAGAAAATGATAATTAGCCTTACCCGGACTCTAGCAGCGTGGTTGTGTCCAGAATGAAGCAACTGCGCCACTTCCCTCCGAAGTTGCTTCACGAGGGATTCTGTCTTTATCTTCAAAACTTTTATCCGTGAAACCGATAGCTTCAATGCGATTTTGCTGCAGATTAAGAATAGTGAGTCAAAATGGAATGCTTCATGCAAACTATTTCTCTCTTTCCAAAATCAAGTTTAGTTTCGTACCACTTTGCGGACTTGAAGCTTCTATGATGCAACATGGCTTGGCTTGGCTTCGAATGAAGGAGAGAGACCCTGTTTTAATGGTTTATTTCACTGTCCTTTGAGCAAATCAAATGGTTAACAAAAGGATACAAGCCTTTTGTATACCTATAACAATGTTTACTAGTAGTTATCAAATTCAGAATCTTTTTTATTATATTCCATAATCATAACCTTTAACCTTTCTTATTCCGTATCGTTTTTTTTTTTTTAATCTACATCACCCTTTTTTTTACTGTCAGCATTAATTGGAGAATTTAGCACAACCTCGCCGGCCTTATCACAGTCAGAGAGCAAAAACATGCTATCACAAGTCATTGCCTCTTCTTTTTATTTTTTATTTTATTTTATTTGGGATGGCTTCAATTGGAAAACAGCACCAAAGAACTTGGGACTTGAATACTGAATAGTGAATACTCTTGTTGCTTGAGTAATAAAAAGGTCTTCCTTTTTTCCCTCAATTTCACTAGTAACTTTATTATTTCATAAATTATCTTTATGAGAAGCATGAATAGTTTATGTTATTAATCACGATCAACAAGTAGATATCCAATTTCATGGCAACGTGTGACTGTTGATACCCGATTTAGTGCATGTTTAGTTACACGTCCAAAATATAATTTAGAGCAAAAATCACGTCTAAAACATAAAAGCTATAATTGATAGCTTCCATTCTAACGTGAAAAATCTAAACCAAACACACACTTAGACTAAATGCTCCTCAAAAATACTGTATGGTGACGATTCAACTCTTGAAACTTCATGTGACATTCAACGATCGTGAGTAAGTGTAGCACTTGTGTAGATCTTGTTTGACCACGATCTAACAATTAAGTAAATCTGTTTTCCCTTGTATATCATTACAAGGTCAAGGTAGCACAAATAAACTTCCTTACAGAAAATCAAGCGGAACATATACCACTTCCTGGCCAAAATACGTCTTTAATTATGCGTATCGCACATTAATTTATGATCAAAATTATGGTTTAAAAAATCTAGAACAAGAAAAAGATATCTATTCTTGGGCATAAACTTTTACTCTCACTTCAACATTTTATGAAAATAAACAATATAAAATTTCGAATAAAAAAAAAACATGACAAGAATATTAAAAAATTGCATAAGTATCATTGTGGGATACCATCACTAGCTTTTTCCAACATGATAATGTAACAACGCAAGGTCCATCCCTCTTCCGACTACAAGGGGTTATTGAGGCTTATCAGAGCTAACCGCTAGTTTTTCAACCTTTTTCCCAAAAATGAAAAAAAAAAATCAGAATAACAAAAATTGGCTTGCAGAATGCCATAATCCACACAAGGTATAAATGACCAGAGGAATTGGCTTTAGGAGTATATAGCCCTGGTTAAATCTACACTTCAAAGTGGTTATTTTCAGACATAATAACCGGTGAAAGTAAATCCCCTTCCTACAATCTCACCAGCACAAAACCATGCAAAGCATTCCAGGCCAAACAAAGCACCAATAGTGACATCTTCAACCTTTAAATCTTTCCTGTTCTTCCATAAATTCTTGGCATAATCAAGTTCCTTCCAGAAGGACTCATTACGACCTGGAATACTGCAAAATTTGGAAGAGTTATACTTAGCAAAAAGAAGCACATAAAATTAAATTCACTACATTGTTTAGCTAATTCACTTAGGATCTTGGTGAAGACTGACACAATTTGAAATGCATGCCATTTGAAAACCATGTTGAAAATACAAGCATTGCCATATACAAATACATAGCATAGGCAGCATTGGCTTCAGTAATACCAAACAGAAGTGGGCTTCAGCATGAAAGATACAAGCAGAAATTTTGATACTGATATGAGCAGAAACTATTGAGCTCGGGTTATTCCTTAATCAACATTATTGACATGATTACATTTACATCAATTAACAAGAAGCTCTAGACTAAAATGATCGTGCTTATAATGCCTCAGGCACATTATGAGCTGCTCAAATTCAAGGCATACAGTTGAACCGTGCCATGATGAATTATGGAAAAACTTCAAAATTGAAATCATATAGTGGCAAACAGCTTGATTATAAAAGTTAACCATTCACAACATTCCAATTTTATTTAAAATCCAAAAGCTGCATTAGGAATAATTTTTGAGATCACGACTAAATTCACTACACTTTCAGAAGCACTTAGTCAGAGAAACAAAAGGATAGTAGACCTATATTTGATTTTGACATTACAAACTCACAGTACAAACGTCAACAAAATGTAAAAAAAACGGCGATTTTTACTCTAGTATTTTACTTGAGCCTATTATGCTCAGGTCCCAGTTAAAGGTTTCGAAACCTCTGGAAGCAGTTACTGTAGGTAATTAAAAATACACGTAACATATTGTACATTCAGTTGAGAGCAGTTTGGTGCCAATCAAAATCAGATTAGTCAGTTATGCACAAAAGGGTAAAAATTGCACTAATGACATGCTGATAACAAGCACCAAGCATCAAGCAGCATGCCTATCTATGGCAATTATTTGATGCAATGAGACTTAATTATAAAAGTGAAATAGATATGTTATTATTTCCGTTGTTAATTTAATTGCACTCCAGTCTAAAACTGCTAAAGAGTTGTAGTTTTCTGCATTTGGCATGCTAGTGAAGCCTATGAAGAACCAACTATGTAATTAGGGTTCCAGTTAATTTTTGGCAGTCCATAAGTCAGTCAAAAGTAATTAATTAGGTACCTCAACTTGAGAGTCTGGTTGGTTCTAGAGTCCTACAGGGTCTAAGAAGTTTTTCTCTTTGTAGTTTGCACTTCTAAAACAGTTTAGAACAATATTCACTAAAATATACACAGAATGTATTGCTGGCATTTCTTTCCAAAACTCAATCAGAATTATGATTATGTCTGAATTCTGTTTGAGGTGGAATCCTTCCACACATACCCTTATCCAACTTATCCACATATTTCCCTTGCAACCCAGTCCTAATTCTAAAGTCTAAACTGATTCCTGGACTGAATCAAACCAACACTTCAATGCTAAGAAATAATGTTGATCCTGTCCACTTTGTTTATTAAGTGTCAGCTGTGTCCCCCACCCCCACCTCACAGGCCAGAATGAACCAACCAACATTTCATTCCATGTCCTAGGTGTGAACTTAGCCAACCTAGGTCCTGTTAGTGGGCTGACCGACTGACTTAGTGCATGTTTTGGCTCAGCCTAATTGGGGGAATAATTGCTCATTTAAGCCAGATTTACAAGAGAGCTTTTGGGAAATAAGCAATTATTTCCCAAAAAATAACCTATACCATACATGCACTTGGTCTTTTATAGCCCTACGAACTTGGAATTATATCCTGAACCCACAAGACCATAGGAGACACATCAGGTAGCAGTTCATAATATATAGGCTTAAATGTAAATTGGACTTTTGGTCTCTCTATTTTTGTCAATCTGCAATTTTGGTCCCTCTATTTAAAAATAGAGACATTTAGTCCCTTGAATTTTAAAAATATAGAAATTTGGTTCTCCCGTCAAACTAACATTTATTAATCGTCAAGTTTTAACGTTTACTCATACTTTAGTGATGTGACATTTAATATCTCTTGTAGTTGATCTTATAGGAACTCTTGTTAAAAGAGGGGCACAAACCAACAAGATACATAGTAAGTTCAAATTTGCAACCTCACCTTCTGGGACATGGCTGGAAACATCCAATCCAAGTGTACTAAAGTATGACAAAAACATTACTTGAAATCAATAAATTATGGCCAACATGCATATAAATTAGAATTTCATAAAGTGAGTCCAGCCAGATGCAATGTTGTTTAGCGGAGGTGGGAGCTGGAGAAAAAATAACCTAGCAAGGCGGGTGTAAAACAATTGCTTTGCCAGCAGGTTGCATTTCTCTACTGTAGGAGGCTCCTGTATGTGTTGCTTGTTCTGTTCCAACAATTGCCTGTAGTAGGCAGTTCCATGTTTGGCGATAAATTGGGAAGCTTGACATGCTTTGGACTGCAACTGCTGCAACTTTGACGCCATCAAATTTGCAAGCTATGTAGAACAAAACCCTAGACCAAATTAGAATGGACAAAGTATAATAAGGCATAAGGTCAACAATATATAACACTCCTGATCATAATTATTAATTGAAATGCCATAAATTCTTCTACTAACACTGATAATAGAAAAAATAGAAAGAAAATTAACAGAAAAAAGGCATAATCTCAAGAAATATATAGAACACATAATGGCCTTTGACACAAATGTTGTTACCTCCACCATTTTCTATTTCTAAGTTAGGGTTAATTAGCTTTGCAATTGATGTTTTATAAGTAACCTAAAGGGTTTAAGATGGAATGGATTTGATAAAAATTCCATTGTTTGGCATTATATAAATGAAGATGGAAAAGGATGGGTCCAAATCTATTCCATTCCATTGTTTATTCCAATTTTTCTTCTGTAATTTGGGTGCACAATGAAACAAAACTTTTAAGTTCAAAAGTTATTATTTTAGCCTTACAAAATTTGGCTCAAACATAACCGTTCGCACATGTGAATTAAAGCACAGTCCAAGCAGTTGAATAAGACAATTCATTCGCAAAAAGGTCTATTCACATAGCTATCCCTAATCATATCTCTCATGTGGTGTCTTGCACTTAATTTTTAAAACATCAATCATCAGGTAGCAATTTCCTTGGAACAAAACGTCAAACACCGACACTGATGTCTATAACAAGTTTACAATTTCCACTGGCTGCATTCACATTTTTGTGGCCTTCACCGATAATGTACTTTACCTTGAATTACTTGCACATATGAAATTATAGTCACTGAACTATGTTACTTGCAACATAGCTGGTTCAGTGAACTATATAGGTGAAGTAACATATAGTTCACTAAATAATGGCATATCATCCAGTAATGTCAATTGGGAAATAAGGATAGAAATTGAAAAGTTTTAACTTATTCCGCCCCATTCTTTTCCCAATTGATGGAATGGAATATATGTTCTATTTTATTATAAATTGCTCAAACAATGGAATGACATTTTTAATCCATTCCCGCTTTATTATGTGTCAATCCACTTTGTTCCATTCTCTACCACCAATCCAAACATAGCCTCAATTAAATAAATAAACATGCAAGATGAAGAATAGCCTAATCGCATAAACATAAAGGTTTTAGTTGTTCGACATCTCACAGAACACAAATAGAATGTTCCACTTCCACTAATCCAAGTATTAAAGAGCAACAATTGATTGAAAGAACTCAAACAATGACAGCTCCAGTTTCTCGAATTGTTTGCTGCACAAACCCATAAATAATTTGAAGGGAGAATCGGGTTGTGGGCGCCAAGTCGAACCCCTAAATTTTCCACCATTTCACGTTACAAAAAAAAAAAGAAAAAAAAAAGAGGAAATATATATAACAGAAACGTAATTCAGTTTGGGAGAGAAAATGAAAGAGATTATAGAGGATCGGAAAAAGGAGAGAAGGAGATCTGAGGAGGAAATGCAAAAGGAATAATATCTCAAGTGTAGTGATGATAAATGAGAGTAATGAGAGGAATGGAAATAGCGTTACCTTGTGAACAGAACCAATGCAGTGATCGGAAATCGTTGAGATAGGTCTCCGTCGCCGCCGGTACCTTGCTACGCAGCAACCACTGAGAACGCTGGGTGTGCCTGTGTGCGCCTTCGTCTTAACCTTGTGCCTTTTTTTTTTCTTCTATTTTCTCAACATGTTTCGTCATGTCCGATCTTCAATTTGGTCTGGACTGTTTTGGGCCACATGACCCACAAGCACAGTCCAAAATTTATTTAAGCCCACGGAAATGGATTACTATTTACTATTCACACTCACTCAAAAACCCTAAACTACTCTTTCACCTCCTCTTCTCGGATCAGGTTCGAATTAAAGTATCTTAACAAATTTCCCGAGTCAGATAAAGATAGAAGAAAAAACTTGTTTGAACCTGTCACACGTTCACCCCTACCTTAACAGTTTCTCTTTTATGTAGTCTTGAATGAAACAAATTTTTTTAGTGATTTATGAAGTATAGAATATTCATATTTTTGTCTCTAAGTTAATGCATTTAAGTAAATTTCAATGACTAACTTTAAGAAAATTTTAATATTTTAGACACTATACATTTTATAATATTTTGAAGAGTTCTAATTAAATGCATAATCTTTATTTTCATTTTTATTTTAAGGACTATTCAGAAGAGGGAATAATACTTTAAAAATTATATTTAAATTTGTATAGTTTCACAAATATGTAATTTTAGTTTTTCAATTTTTTTATTACAAAATTAGTCTTTATAGTTATCAAAATGAAACAATAGTAGTCCAACCATTAACATATCATTTAAAATTAAACAGAAAATATATCATTAAAAACCTAACTAAAAAAAATGTCATCTCATATGCAAGTCTTTTCCTGTAAGTTGTAAATTAAATTGCATAGCCATTGCTCGAAATTTATTTTTGCTCATTTGTAACTAAATTAGACCCAATTAATTTTCTTCGTCGTTCACCCTTACCCTCCCATCCACACTATTCAAGCCATAATTATTATAGCTTTAACGGAGCTAATTTCATAGCGTTATCGTATGTGTACTTGAAAATTTATATATATTATGCCATTCCTAGCTCTAAAGGTCGAACCTTGCACATAAAATCCACAGGACTGATTTGCGATGTCCTCAAAAGAGTAAATTGGCAAATGGTTTAACCACGATCAAATAATTAAGTAGATGTGGTTTCCTTTGCATATCATACCATTACAAGATCATGGTAGCACAGATAAACTTCCTTACAGAAAATCAAGCGGACCAAATACCGCTTCCTGGCCAAAATACGTCTTCAATTATTCGTATCGCATATTAATTTATAATCAAAATTATAGTTTAAAAAATCTAGAAAATAATTAAAAAGACACATATTCTTGGTCATAAACTTTTATTCTTACTTCAACATGTTATGATAATAAACACCAATATAAATTTTCAAAAAAGAAAACACCATGACAAGAATATTAAAAAATTGCATAAGTATCATCAATGTGGAGTACCATCACTAGCTTTTTTCCAACATGATATGATAATATAACAACGCAATGTCCATCCCTCTTCCAACTACAAGGGGTTATTGAGGCTTATCAAAGCTAACCGCTAGTTTTTCAACCTTTTTCCCAAAATCAAAAAAAGAATCAGAATAACAAAAATTGGCTTGCAGAATGACATAATCCACACAATGTATAAATGACCAGAGGAATTGGCTTTAGGAGTATATAGCCCTGGTAAAATCTACACTTTCAAGTGGTTATTTTCAAACATAGTAACCGGTGAAAGTAAATCCCCTTCCTACAATCTCACCACCACAAAACCATGCAAAGCATTCCAGGCCAAACAAAGCAGCAATACCTGCATCTTCAACCTTTAAATCTTTCCTGTTCTTCCACAAATTCTTGGCATAATCAAGTTCCTTCCAGAAGGACTCATTACGACCCGGAATACTGCAAAAATCCGAAGAGTTATACGCAGCAAAAAGAAGCACCTAAAATTAAATTGATATAGAACAGACTAGATATGACCATGCGGAACAGGTTTTCAGAATTCACTATATCATGGTTTAGATAACTCACTAAGGATCGAGGTGAAGATTGACATAATTTAAAATGCATAAATGATTTCGAGACAACATTGAAATGAAATACAAGCATTCATTAACACAAATAGATAGCATAGATAGAGGCAGCATTGGCTTCAGTTATACCAAACAGAAGTGGGCTTCAGCATGAAAGCTACAAGCAACAATTGTGACACTGATATGAAAAAATAGATAAGCTGAGGTTCTTTCTCAATCAGCATTATTAACACGATTACATCAATTAACAAGAAGCTCTAGACTAAAACAATCATGCTTATAATGCCTCCCAACTCACAAGCACATAATGAGCTGCTCAAATTCAAGGCATACAGTTGAGCCGTGCAACGATGGAGGATTACGCAAACAGCTTGATTATAAAAGTAATCCATTAAAAATATTCCAGTTTTATAAAACCCAAAAGTTGCATTAGTTGTTAATTTTGTGATCACGACTAAATTCAATACACTTTCAGAAGCACCTGGTCAAAGAAACAAAAAGATACTAGACCTATATTTGATTTTAACAGTACAAACTCATAGTACAAATGTCGACAAAATGTAAAAAACAGTGATCTGTATCTGTACCCTGTAGTAATTTACTTGAGCATAATATGCTCAGGTCCCGTTGAAGGGTTTGGAAACCTCTAGAAGCAGTTACTGTGGCAAATAAAAATACACAGCACATTGTACATTCAGTTGAGAGCAAGTTTGGTGCCAATCCTAATCAGTTTACTATGTTAAGCATAAAAGAGTAAAAATTGCACCAATGACATGCGGATAACAAGCACCGGGCATCAATCAGCTTGCTCATCAATGGCAAATGGCAATTACTCGATGCAATGAGACTTAATCATTAAAGTGTAATATATATATTATTTACTCAATGTTCATTGATAATTTAATTGCACTTAAGTCTAGAACTGCTAAAGCGTTGTAGTTATGTGTATTTGGCAAGCTAGTGAAGCCGATGAGAGTCCAACTACGTAATTAGGGGTCCAGTTAATTATTGGCACTTCAAAAGTCAGTCAAAAGTTATTAATTGTTTTTAAGGAGATTGATGACTGAAAGTTTATCTCTCGTAGTTAATCTTTTAGGAACTCCTGTCAAAAGAGGGGGCACAAACCAACATGATACATCAGTAGGTTCAAAAATTGCAACCCCACATTCCAGGACTTCATCCCTAGTCTATAAAGGAGAAGAAAGAAGCTATCAAGCATGGCTACAAACATCCAACCAAAGTATATTAAAGTATGTCAAAAACATTATTTGAAATCAACAAATTATGGCCAACAAGTATATAGAATTAAAATTTCATAACGCGGTTCCAGCCAAATGCAATATTATTAGAGGGGGTGGGAGCTGGAGAAAAAATAACCTAGCAAGGCGGGTGTAAAACAATTGCTTTGCCAGCAGGTTGCATTTCTCTACTGTGGGAGGGTCCTGAATGTGTTGCTTGTTCTGTTCCAACAATTGCCTGTAGTATGCAGTTCCATGTTTTGTGATAAATTGGGAAGCTTGGCATGCTTTGGATTGCAACTGCTGTAACTTTGACGCCATCAAGTCTGCGAGCTAAGTAGAACAAAACCCTTAACCAAATGAAAATGGACAGAGTAGAATAAGACATAAGGTCAACAATATATGACTTACAAAGACTCCGACATGGACATTGGACACCACAACTACACGGCAAATATCCAAAATTTACATACACACATACATACATACATACATATATATATATATATATATATATATATATATATATGATAATGTCCCTTAAAAGATGAACCGTATCTCTTAAAAGTTAAAATAATTAATAATTCTTATGAAAATGAGCTTCAAAAAAGATTAAAAAAATGTTATGAGTCTTGCAATATTTATAAATAAGTTGACTTTTTAATTTTTTATATAATAAGAATATTAGATAAGTGACTAAGAGAGGTGTCAGTTCACTCTTTTTGTTTGTGTCCAAGTCATGTTAGAGAGGTGTCCAAACCAAGAAAAAAAAAATTAATTGTCACAGAGTGGAGAGGTGTCCAACGTGTATCCAAGTATGTCTGACAAGCATTGTGGCCGGGATGTGTGGAAACTTTGACACGGTATTCTGTATTCGGGTCTGTGCTTCATGGTATATCACACTCCTGATCCATAGTTATTATTCGAAATGCCATAAATTCTTCTACTCACTAATAATAGTCGGGATAGAAAGAAAATTAACAGAATAAAGGCATAATCTTCGAGAAATATCTAGAACACAACATGGCCTTTGACACGAATTGTTGTTAGCTCGCCCATTTCTATTTCTAAATTAAACGGGGTTTAAGATGGAGCTGTTCATTGATGTTAAATGCAAAGAACTTGAATTCAATTAAGAATTAATCTATACACTGCCAGTGTAAAGTTTTTTTTATTTATGGCATAATTAAAAGATATACTCTTAAATTAAATACATAAACATACACGAGGTAGAATTGACTGAAAGAACAACTCAAGCAATGACATTCCAGCTGCTCATATTGTTTATTGCACTAAACCCTATATACTTTGAAAGGAAAATCGGCTTGTGGGTGCCAAGTCAAACCCCTAAATTTTCAACCATTTCGCGTTTCCACCCAAAAAATAAATAAAAAGTGGAAACATATATAACAGAAACGTAATTCAGTTTAGGAGAGAAAATGAAAGAGATTATAGAAGATCGGGAAAAGGAGAGAAGGAGATCTGAAGAGGAAATGCAGAAGGAATAATATCTCAAGTGTAGTGATGATAAACGAAAGTAAAAAGAGGAATGGAAATAGCGTTACCTTGTGAACAGAATCAATGCAGTAATCGGAAATCGTTGAGATAGCCCTCCGTCGCCACCGGTACCTTGCGACGCAGCAACCACTGTGAACGCTGGGTGTGTCTGTGTGCGCCTTCAGTCTTATTGTTGTGCCTTCGTTCTAGTTTTTCAGTATGTTTCGTCTTGTCCAATCTTCAGTTTGGTCTCGATTTGTTGGGCCACATGAGATACGAGTACAGTCCATAACTTATTTAAGCCCACGAATATGTGTTATTATTCACGCCCTCTGTTCACTATTCACACTCCTTTCATTAAATTTTACTCCTAAACCCAAAACTACCCTTTTCCTTCTCCTATATTTTTTTTAGGTTTAACGTAAGAGTAAGTTACACTCGTACTTCTAATTTCCTGTTTTTTTTATATTGCACTCAACACTTTTTTTTTATTTGGACTTAGTAATAATATTTTTTAAATCCTAAACTCTAAATCCTAAATCTTAAATCTTAAACCTTAAATCTTAAACTCTAAAAGTTCTTACAGTATTTCTAACTCGTAAATAGTATCAAATTTATTAATATATTTGTGTCATGTGACTTACACATAATTTTTAATGATTTTTGTAATATTCTAAATTTATGATACAATATTATCTTTTATATATATATATATATATAT